AGACTAATGTCTTCACAAATGTGCCTTAGGAAAATCTGTTGTCCTTAAGCGAATGTGGTTGACTCTTAACTGCCCTTGGCAATTAGGGATAAGCAATAAGTATTGACCCAACCAACATGCCCACGTCCCATGAATATACATGAATATGAAATCATATTGTTAAGAGGATACCTGTGGTAATATTAGGTTTAAATATGTGCAACAAGCCTATTTCATATCTAGTGCGCAAACGTAGCAAATTCATAATGTTCAGTGTAAGTGAGTAATGAGGCAGACTGCAAAATGCCACTTTTGCAAATCTAACTTGGGCAGTAGCTTTTAGATATTCATATTTAACAGTACATTTGTTCCATGCCTGAAATTGTTGCACTATTTATCCATAAATCCTAGGCAGCACTATTAGCCTTATCATTACTTCAGTAAATTCTGACCGATTAATATTACAAATTGTTACCTCTCAAAATTGGGCGTAATGAATCACCTTTACTTAGAAAATTAGTGTTTTATTTATTGATCTAGTTATAAAGATGGAATCTCAAACATCCATCAAAATGAAGAGGAGCTTACACGTGGAAGAAAATAAAGACTGGTAAATAATCAAGATTCCATTGGAAAGCACTGACCAACTGTTTGGGACTGTGGCTTGGATTTTTGCACACAAGTCTACATAAATTTTGTTCATTTGCAAATTGTATATTTTCTTAAGCAGGTGGAACATTTGATAAATGATACCGAAGGAGAACTGTACTTAAAATGTATTCATCATAGTCGTGGTGGTTGGACAAAATTATTGGAGGGGAGCTGGCAGAGAGATGGTGGGTCAAATGGTTTCCTGTGCTGTAATCATTCTATGATTCTGTGCATAGTCCGTAGTATCTATGTCAGTGAGTAATGAGAAATGCTTTACTGTTTAGGGAATGAGGAGATTCTTCATGTACGGTTCTTTTTACCTTAGGCGTTTAAAACAATTTATTACATGGTCTTTGCTTTGTAAAAGAAACAGCATGCAAGGAGAGCCATGTACAAGAGTTTCTTCTACCTCCCTGAGGATCTCTGTTTGTCTTTGTCACTTCAATGTGATATGTTCACCATCTGATTCCTGCAGAGTTTCTCAATTATAGTAGATGTACCTCTGCTCATAAACACAGTCTTGTGCAGCATATGACTCATGGGTGAACGTACTGCTATATGTGGTACTGAGCCATGCAGCCAAGTGTTTCCCTTGATCTACAGGAAGTTGGTGTATTAGCATGATTGTGTCCTCCATTGTTCTCATAACAGAATTTCTGTTAGTAGGGATTGCTTTGACATTATTAAAATGATAAGTAAAGAGTAAGTAAAGTCAAAGAGGCAATGTCTTTTAGGCCATTCACTACAAATGGTCCCAGTTAACTACATTGGCTTTAGCAGATTGACTGCAGTTGGAAACATTTGCTGCAGTTGCAGAGAAACAAAGACAGCTCCAGCTTCATTGAATAATTGTATCTTAATTTGTGGAGAATATATATCTTAATTATATTTTCTGCAAAAACATTATTGTAAAAGCATAATGTAAAAGCATTATTTAACCTAGATGAAAAGAAACTTAATAGAAACTGTATACGCTCTGTATGATGCCCTGCAGCAATTCACCAGTAGATAAGCATGTTCTAAACCCACGACCACTTCCATCTAGAAGGACAAGAGAACCAGATGTATGGCTACACCACCACCTACAAGTTCCCCTCCAGGCCAGTCACCGTCCTGACTTGGAAATATATCACTGTTCTTTCACTGTCACTGGGTCAAAATCCTGGAATTCTCCCCTTAAGGACATTGTGGGTTGACCAACAGCAGTTGGACTGCAACGGTTCAAGAAGGCAACTCACCACCTTCTCAAGGGCAAGTTGAGATGGGCAATAAATGCTGGCCATTCCACGAGTAAATAAAAAGAAATCCACACACATATAGGAAGTGGATGAGCAGTCTTGGTGTAAATTAGGACACAGGCAGCAAAATTTTGAATGACCTCAAGTTTGTGAAGGGGATCATGGAGTTAGAAAATAATATGGAAGATCAGAGGAACACATTGAATAAGCAAATCTATAGGTACCAAACACATGGGTGAAGATTTTAGCAGTTAATAATCTGAAGCCAGTTTATTATTATACAGATGCAAATAGGACATATTAGTGCTTTGTATGGCTTTGTGTGTGGGAAATCATGTCTTGCTAACTTGATTGAGTTTTTTTTGAAAAGGTGACAAAAAAGATTGATGAAAGCAGAGTAGTAGATGTTGTCTATATGGACTTCAACAGAACATTCGACAAGTTTCCAAATGGTAGACTGGTTAGTAAGGTTAGATCACATGGGATCCAGGGGGAGCTAGTGAATTGGATTCAAAATTGACTGAAGGTAGGAGACAAAGGGCGGTGGTCGAGGGTTACTTTTTGGACTGGAGGCCTGCAACCAGCGGTGTGTTGCAAGGATCGGTGCTGGGTACGCTGTTTTTCGTCATTTGTATGAATAATTTGGATGAGAATCTGGGAGGTACGGTTAGTAAGTTTGCAGATGACACCAAAGTAGGTGGTGTAATGGACAATGGAGATTATCTCAGAGTACAATTTGACCTTGATCAGATGCACCAATGGATTGATGAGTGGCTGGTGGAATTTAATTTAGATAATGTGAGGTGTTGCATTTTGGTAAGGCAAACCAGAGTAGGACTTGCGTAATTAATGGTAAGGCCCTGGGAAGCATTGCTGAACAAAGGAACCTAGGGATGCAGGTGCTTATTTTCTGGAAAGTGGAGTCACAGGTAGACAGGGTGGTGAAGAAGGCATTTGGCTTACCTTCATTGGTTGGAACATTGAGTATAGGAGTTTGGATATCGTGTTTTGGCTGTACAGGACATTGGTGAAACCACTTTTAGAATACTCCGTACCATTCTGGTCGCCCTTCTATTGGAAGGATGTTGTTAAATTTGAGACGGTGCAAAAAAGACTTACAAGAATGTTTCTGGGACTGGAGGGTTTGAGTTGTAGGGAGAAGCTGAATAGGCTGGGGCTTTTTTCCCTGGATCATCGGAGGCTGAGAGATAATCTTAGAGAGGTTTATAAATCATGAAGGGCATGGATAGGGTGAATTACCAAGGTCCTATGCTTAAAATGGGGGAGTCCAAAACTAGAGGACATATAGGTTTGAGGTGAGAGGGGAAAGATTTAAAAAGGACCTGAGGGTTAACTTTTTCACACAAAGGGTGGTGTGTGTATGGAACGAGCTGCCAGAGGAAGTGGTGGAGGTGGGTTCAGTTACAACATTTAAAAGGCATCTGAATGGGTAAATGAATAGGAAGGGTTTAGCGGGCTATGGGCCAAATGCTGGCAAATCGGACTAGGTCAGATTGGGATCTCTGAGTTGAACCGAAGAGTCTGTTTCCATGCTGTATGACTCTGACCCCAATGATGATGTAAATGTGAATAACATGAAGAACATCTTGGAATCAGATATAACATCATGATTGTGAGGAGTTGGCTCAACTTCTGACAGTTGTGTGGGAGAGAAATTAAGTTAGTAATGAGGGAACAGCATTTGTGATGGAGATCAGTGGGTTCTGTCTTTCCAGCAGTGTACGTCAGACCATGGTATCAACGAGCAATGGAACACTTAATGGTGTTACCGGAAACAATGCTATAAAATTGTGGAGTTTGCACATTCTCCCTGTGTCTGCGTGGGTTTCCTCCGGGTGCTCCGGTTTCCTCCCACAGTCCAAAGATGTGCAGGTTAGGTGGATTGGCAATGGGAAATTGCCCATACTGTTCAGGGATGTGTACATTAGGTGGGTTATAGCAGGATGGGTCTGGGTGGGATGCTTTGAGATTCACTGTGGACTTGTTGGGCCGAAGGGCCTGTTTCCACACTTGTAGGGATTCTATGATTCTATGAAAATATTAAAACATTATTCACGTACTTTAAGATAAGGTCATAGTAAAGAATGATGAAGGCCATAATGTGGAATGTTTGCTAATATGTTACAATATTCATAACACAAGAATGCAAAATATAATTTGAGTTTCTGAAAGATATCCATCTGCCAATTGAGTTAGCTGTTGAACTGATCGTATCACTCAAAGTATTGACTTTTTTTGTGGAATGCATCGTGTATATCATGAAGTACTTTACTATATGGTAAAATGCATGCTTTTTAACTGAAATGATGGTCCCTCTGTCTTATTATGTACTTCATGGAATTGTTGCAGCACAGATGGAGGCTATTCAGATCATTGAGTCCATGCTGGTAATCTGCAGAAGAAATTCAGCCAGTACCATTTTCTGGGTAAAAACAGAAGTTGCTGGAAAAGCTCAGCAGGGTCTGAGGAAGGGTCACTGGACCCGAAACGTTAACTCTGATTTTTTCTTCACAGATGCTGCCAGACCTGCTGAGCTTGTCCAGCAACTTCTGTTTTTGTTCCTGATTTACAGCATCCATAGTTCTTTCAGTTTTCATTTTCTGGGTAGCCCTGCACAGTTGTTTTTTCCTCACATAACGATCCAATTCCCTGTCGAATTCATCGATTGAACCTGCCCTAGTTCCATAACAAACTCAGACAACACTTTACAGACCTTAATGACTTGCTGCATAAAATAAACTTTTCTTCATGTTCCCAATTACCTTTCAAATGTGCCCTGTGATTCCCAATCTTCCCACCAAAAGGAACAGCTTCTTCCTGTATACTCTGTCCTAATACCCTCTCAATTTTGAATACCTCTAACAAGTCTCTTTTCAACTTTCTGTTCCCCAAGGAGAACAACTTCTCTAATGGATATACTTAACTGAAGTATTTGGTAGACTTTTCAGTCATTGTTTATTTGTAGAACATTAAATTGGCAATTGTAATTGCTTGAAAATCTTTATTTTGTTGACTCCTTTATTATGCAGAGCATGTTTGAAATCTAAATAACTGAGGTTGAACCCTGTAGGCTGCATTTTATTTCTAATTTTCTGCTTCCTTTGTTTGTAGGTTGCAGAGATGCATGGTGAACTCATAGAATTCAATGAAAGACTACACAGATTACTGATGGCTAAGGAGGCCCTTATCTCACAGATGAGGCAGGAACTCATTGATTTACGAGGGCCGGTAAGTAGTTTTATATACTTGGTTTAGAACCAGTGGACAGTTGTGGACTGTCCATTTTAGGTGGATGATTGTCTATACGAGTACAAAGTACATGGACACAGCCACAGAAAAAAATGTATTTGGATGGTTATGAAGCAAACAAAACAGAGAAAGAATGCCAAGCACACCAAAAGTTACATTTAAAAGACATGTACAAGAAAATCAGTAGTTTGCTGCTTACAGAATTTGGAAAGAAATAGATCAAAAATGTAACTGCTTCAAACCTTGGGAAAACTTGGAGAAGGGATTTTTGAAGAGTGAGAATGAAGAGCAGTCCTATGGAGTGTGCAATGATTTTATAATCAAATAGAGTTTGTTGATTCGTGAAGGCATAATAAAAAAAAAAGGCAAATTACAGGATGCACAATAAGCAAACAAATTAAAAGAATTTGCATCCTGATGCGTTAACGTAAAATTAATTCAAGAAAAGCAATTGCTAACATAACTGAATCCATTACCAGCTACATGAAATTTGTGTACGAACGTACAAATAAATCGCAGGGGAGACCATCCAGCTCCACAAATCTGCTTCGTCACTTTAATAAGATTGTGGCTACTTTGATTGTAACCTCAAATGCACATTCCCACAACTCCTAATAACCTGTCACCTTGTTTACCAAGAATCTATCCACCTCAGATTAAAATATTCAAACACTTTGCCTGCAGTGCCTTTTCAGGAATGGAGTTCCAAAGACTCTCATCATTGTCCTAGAAAAGAAAATTTCTTCATCCCTGTTTTAAATAGGCAACCCCTTATTTTTAAAGAGTGACTTTTACGTATAGATTCTCCCGTAATCATAGACATCCTCTCTACGTTTACCCTGTCCGGAATTCTCAGGATCTTGTATGTTTCAATCAAGTTGGTGCTTACTTCTTAAACTTCAGCAGATACAAGCGTAGCCTGTTCATCCCTTTCCTCCGAGAACGACTCACCCATTCCATGCATTAGTTTGGTAAGCCAGAATTGCCTCCAGTGCGTTTACATCCTTCCTTAAATAACCAATTCTGTGCACAGTACTCTGGATCTATTCTCAACAGTGTACTGTATAACTGAAGCATAACATCTCTACTTCTGTATTTAATTCTGCTCACAATAAATTACAATGTGCTATTAGCTTTCCTAATTGCTTGCTGTACCTCCATAATAACCTTTTGTGAATCAAGCACTAGGACTCATGACAAGGAAGTACTCAATGAATGGCAGGACACTGGGATGCTCAGAGGAATAGTGGGATCTTGGGGTACTGTCCACAGATCTCTGAAGGCGCAAGACAAGTTAGGGTAGTAACGGCATAGAAGACACTTGCCTTTATCAATCATGGCATAGACTAGAAGAGTAAGGAGGTTATGTTGGAGCTTTACGAAACTTTGGTTGTTTTCTTTGGAGCAGGGAAGGCTGAGATGGGATCTGGTAGAGGTGTATAAGATTATGAGGGATGTGGACAGGATGGATAGAAAGCAGCTGTTTCCTGAGGTGAAGGGTCACTAACTTTTAATTTATTTGTGGGATGTGGGTGTCGCTGGCTGTCCAGCATTTATTGCCACCCTTGAGAAGGTGCTGGTGAGCTGCCTTCTTGAACCGCTGTAGTCCATCTGCTGTCAATTGACCCACAATGCCATTAGAGAGGGAATTCCAGGATTTTGACCCAGCAACAATGAAGGAATGGCAATATGTTTCCAAGTCAAGATGGTGAGTGTGTTGGAGGTGAACTCAAAGGTGATGGTGTTCCCATAGATCTGCTGTCCTTGTCCTTCTAGATTGAAGTGGTCTTGGTTTGGAAGGTGTTTTTGGAGAATCTTTGGTGAATGTCTGCACTGCATCTTGTAGATAGTACACACTGCTGCTACTAAGCAGTGGGTGCTTGTGGATGTAGGGCCAATCAAGCAGGATGTTTTGTCCTGGATGGTGTCAAGCTTCTTGAGTGTTGGAGCTGCAGTCATTCCAGGCAAGTAGGGAGTACCTCATCACACACCTGACTTGTGTCTTGGAAATGGTGGACAGGCTTTGGGGAGTCAGGAGGTGTGATATTCGTTGCAGTATTCCTAGCGTCTGACCTGCTGTTGTAGCAACTGTATTTATGTGGTGAGTCCAATTGAGTTTCTGATCAATGATAACCCTCCAGGATATTGACAATGGGGGATTTAGTATTGAACGTCAAGGGACAATGGTCAGCCTGACGTTTCTGTAGCGTGAATGTTACTCACCGCTTGTCAGCCCAAGTCTGGATATTGTTCAGATCTCGTTGCATTTGGACATGGACTACTTCAGTATCTGAGAAATCAATGGCCGTGGAGAGATTGCGAGGGCTACAAAGGCCAAAGGCAACAACATCGAATAGTCTCATCAGCTTTCAGCAAAATTGCACCAAGTGGTACTGCTCTATCCTGAATGTCCTTCACCTCACGTGGATAGGAAGAAAATCATACATCACTGGAGTTATGTTCTCCACAACATTAGACTTGGAACATAATTACTTCACTCCATTGTGTTGGTGATTTTGTTTTGGAACTGACTCCTATTTTTTTTTAGCTTCACAGTAACAAAAAGTTGCAGTGTAGTTGAAATAAAGAACGTAATAAATAATTTATTGTCGATACTTCTAAAGACACTGCTGTTATATTGGTTTTTGAAGAGTTGCAGCATCATCATGGGATTTCTATGTATCTGTTTGCATTATAAAGTGTCTGTCAGGTCTTAAACATTTGGAATTATTTAAGATTGCTAGTTATTTATGTCATGTTGGTGACGTCTAACTGTTTCATCTTTGTTTATTGTGCGTTCTGCCATCCTTTCTTCTTTTGGCTAAGATTATGATTGTATGTCTTCATCTGTGACATCAATCTGTCTGATTTCATTTCTATAGTCTTGTAGTCTAATGTGATCGCTTTTCAAAACCTAACAATGTTTTTGTCACTTGTCAGTTTATTCTCCTTTGGATACAGAAGGTTACCTGAATGTTGGAATTAAATCGCCAAGACAATGTGCCCCTGTGCACTGGCAAAGAAATGATTAATGGCGATTTGCCAAATAAAAATTGGGAAATCTGAACTGAGTTGTTACACCGATAACATTTATATTTTGCCGTTGAGCAAAATCATGCAGAATGGCAGCCATCCAATTTTGCAGTAAAACAAAATATATGTTTTAAAAGCACATAATTTGATTTCATCTGCTTCTGCAGTCATGCAGTCAAGTCTTTGTGATTTATTGAGATGTGATATACCTCTCTCTGAAATATTATCACTTTTGCAGACCCTTTTTTGAATCCTGAGCTGCACTGCAAATTTTTTGGAAATACTAGCAGCATTAGTCTGTTTTCTTAAATTGTTACATGTTGAAATCCACAGGAATCCACTATCTCCAAATACCAACAGTTGATCTGCAACACTTTAAAACCTTGCATGTCGTAAATATGCTGGTCTGGAATTTACCTTAATTTTTTTTGGGTTCTGCACCATGGCAAGCTGTCTGCCTCTGCTTCTTTGGTAAACATTAATGCAAGGCAGGGTGGCTGACAGCCTCCAAGCTTGGATTGCAGTGATGTACCACAGGGATCAATGATGGGTCCCTTATTGTTTGTCATATTCATAAATGATGAAGATGAGAATGCGGGAGGGATGATAGGTAAATTTTCAGATGGCATAAAGATTGGTCAGATGGTTGACAGTGAAGTGGAAGGTGTTAGACTACAGGACAATATAAACAGATTGGTTAGATGGGCAGATCAATTGTGGATTGAATTTAACCCTGATAAATGTGCGGTGATGCACTTTGGAAGAAATTACAAGACAAGGGCGTGTTCAACGAATGGCAAGACAGTGGGAAGCTCAGATAAACAGAGGGATCTTGGGGTGCTTGTCCATAAACCTCTGGAGGTAATGGGGCAGGTTAATAGGGTAGTTAAGAAGGCATAAGTGACACTTGCCTTTATCAGTCACAGCATAGATTATAAGAGCAGGGAGGTTATGTTGAAGCTGTACAGAACTTTGGTTCAGCTGCAGGTGGACCACTGAGTGCAGTTCTGGTCAACACACCATGGGAAGGATGTGATTATACTGGAGGGGATGGAAAGTAGATGTTGTCTGGGATGGAGCATTTTAGCTATGAAGAGTGCTGGATAAGCCCTGGTTGATTTTTGGCAGTACAGACTCGTTGGGTTCAGGGGCCTCTTCTGTACTGTATGACTGTATGATTACTTTGCATGCTGAGTTTATTTCTGGGTTTAACAGAATATCTGAGGAAAGATTCCCCAGAACTCCTTCCCTAAGGGCATTGTGAGTCAACTTACTGCACATGGACTGCAGCAGTTCAAGAAAGCAGCTCACCACCACCTTCTTTAGGAACAGTTAGGGATGGGCAAGAAATGCTGCCCAGCCAGCGATGTCCATGTTCCATGGATGGATTTTAAAAAAGTGAACATCTGAATGCACTTACTTACACCGTAAAGATGACTTGTGCTTTCTTTGATTTGTGACCAAATGCATAGTGCGCACCCATGTGGAGTGTTTAAAACAAATAACATTGACACCTGAAGGGGAAGCTGGGTATGTTAATGAAGGAGAAAAGGACAGAGTGATATGGGAGCAGAGTGGAAGGAGGCTTGTGTGGCGTATGGGCACACCAACATAAACAAGTTAAGCTAAGCAGCTTGTTATTGTGTGGTAGATACAGCCTCATTGAAAATGATGAAAAGGCATACAGCATGCTTTCATTCATCGGACGGGGTATTGAGTACAAGAGTTGGCAGGTCGTGTTACAGTTGTATAGGACTTTGGTTCGACCACATTTGGACTACTGCGTACAGTTCTGGTCGCTACATTACCCAAAGGATGTGGATGCTTTGGAGAGGGTGCAAAGGAGGTTCACCAGGATGTTGCCTGGTATGGAGGGCGCTAGCTATGAAGAGAGGTTGAGTAGATTAGGATTATTTACATTAGAAAGATGGAGGTTGAGGGGGGGG